AAGTTTTCGAGAGAACTTACCCTACCGGAAGGTAACAAAAGTAAATAAATACTATATAAAAATTAATTGACCCTAATTTTAAAACTTTTAAAAAATTGACCTATTTTATTTAAACTCAATCATGTTTATAGATATTTATATATTAGTCACATTATTTGACTATTTTTTGATGATGAAATTAATGGCAATTACAGTTGGTTTATGAAAACTTTTTTTAAATATAATATAACATAACATAGGCATAGATAAGAAAATAATTATATGCTTGAACCAATTTCATCTTTAACCAATAGATGAAAAGCATTTAAAAGATTCAAAATAATGTTTAATATTATTAATAAGTAGTAAGTTTTTTATCCATTTTAATATTATAATAGTAATTTAACATTATACAAAGATTTATTTACTCTTAATAGCACCTAATTATATTTACTATAATAAATTAAAAATAATTGAATGTTTATGGTTATAAATAGTTATTTTCTAATGATATTTCAATTTAAAATCATTTACTTACTCAAAAGAGTTATCGGTAAGGTAAGCTGTTTGAATTGAAAAATTTTCGTTTTGTGGAGTTAAATTAAATGAAAAAAATGCTAATATTAAAATTAAATTTCGAGATTGCAAATGATAATGACAACTATATTATATATTAAATTTCAATATACTACGACAGATCTTTTCACCAGATCTGTTGGAACTTATATCAATTATTTTGTGCAATTAGAATAAAATGAAAATTTTCTGAAAACAAATACTATATACATATATATATATATATATATATATATATATATATATTTTGGTTTTATGATCATGTTGTATTATTTAATTAAATTAGACACTTTTAAAGATAGAAGAAACATTTCGACTTGAGATAGAAACTCAACTTTTACTTATGAAATAAAATGCATAATGCACCCACTGCGTCTAATAAAATCTTGTTTTGATTTTAACATATTACTAAATTATTAGAGAATATTTACAAAAATACTGTATGTTATATTACATAGGTTATAAACATCTATCTGCATTCTTACATCTAGGAACACTCTTATTACATATTAAATTTTTATGTACACTCTCAAAGTTTTATAATTTCAAAAAAAAGTATATTGAAATATCTTTTTACTTACTATTTTGCGAATCGGGCCATTTCTTAAATAAAATAATGAAAAAATATTTTTTTCTTTAAATTTATTAAAAAATTGGTCAAATTGTATTATGACCCTAACAACGGATTATTTCTATCGAAAACTGTTTTGTATGTATATAACATACAAATTTGCGCCAACTTTGGTCAAATTTACTAACACACTTTAGTACATTTTTAAAAAGAGGGCATCTCAAAGTCGACTGATTTAAAAAAAATAAATTCGTAGATGAGCAAAAAGTTTTAATTCTTGAAAATTTGCAGCAATATTTTTCACAGAAGCCCTAGAAATATGATTCACAGTTATAGTTCCAAAGTTTAAATGAAATAAAGAATCATAATTTCACCAAAGCTCTAAGTTGCACTTAAAAGCTCATAACTTTGCAACAATGTGAGATATTTTTTTCTCTAAATTTTTACAGGTTAGTTTTAACGGGAAGTATGTTTGCCTCTTTGTGATATTTTTCTCATTACAAATAAATTAAACAATGGGATCGATAAAGAACTTTTATATATTTTCATTGTATTATTTATCTTTAAACTATTAATCATTTTACTTAATACTATATGTAAAAATTCTATAACCCCGTTTCGGCTTGACGTTGTACATCTTTTGAAAAATATTTATTAAGTAGAATCAATAGTTAATTTCTGTTTAAATCGTTTTTAACGCTATTCGCAGAAATGCAAACCGTGAAATCAATCGAGTGTGTATAATAAATTTATATATGCATTGGGATGTGACGTGATTTATATGTTGAGATATTTATTAATGTTTGCTTCATAGTTTTGTTCTCATATATTTTTTTTAGAATCAAATATAACATCAAATTTAACATGATTATTTAAGTTAAAGTAAAAATCCTTTGTTGAAATTAACTACATCATACGTGATTTGTATTTAAATTTGTAAATATAGATATATATTTCTATATACAAGTTCACGACAGCTGGAAGTCTTACAGTTTTCCCTTTTTGACGAACTAAGTATGTCTAAAAACTATTCATAGTAATTACAATTTTTTTATATTATTAAAACTTGGCTTACTTTGGCTTGATGCCCTCGCACGTCTATATACATATGGTGTATATAATATACATATATATTAGGGTGGTCCTTAAAATGGTCATTTTCGAATTTCCTTGCTCCCAGGGGCTCAAATGGTTCCAAATAGATAAAAAACAATTCTCTGAAAATTTTAGCTCTTAATATTAACGTTTAGATAGAGCGCAATTCAATCAAAGTTTTGTATGGAAATAGCATGAAAAAATTTTCAAAAACTTTAAAAATGTTTTTTAAATGTAATTTAGCGAACAAATGAATGAATAAAACTCATTCATTTGTCGCTAAGTTATACTTAAAACATTTTTTTTTAATTTTCAAAAATTTTTCCATGCTCTTTCCATACAAACTTTGATTGAATTGCGCTCTATCTAAACGTTAATATTAACAGCTAAAATTTGAGAGAATTGTTTTTTATCAATTTGGAACCATTTGAGCCCCTGGGAGCAAGGAAATTCGAAAATGACCATTTTGAGGACCACCCTAATATATATATATATATATATATATATTAGGGTGGTCCTTAATATGGACATTTTCGAATTTCCTTGCTCCCAAGGGTTCAAATGGTTCCAAATTGATAAAAAACAATACTCTGAGAGTTTTAGCTCTTAATATTAACTTTTAGATAGTGCGCAATTCAATCAAACTTCGTATGGAAATAGCATGGAAATTATTTTGAAAATTTAAAAAAAAATTGTTAGGTATAACTTAGCGACAAATTAATTAAAAGTGAAGATTGTGTCATTTTTTATTGAAAATTAAAAACGCTCTGCGCAATTTTTGAAAAATTTTTCATGCTATTTCCATACAAAATTTTGATGGAATTGCGCTCTATAAAAAAGGCAATATTAAGAGCTAAAACTTTCAGAGAATTATTTTTTATCAATTTGGAACCATTTGAGCCCTTGGGAGCAAAGAAATTCGAAAATGTCCATATTAAGGACCACCCTAATATATATATATATATATATATATATATACATATATATATACCTTTTTCACTCATATAAAAAATTTATATTCATATCAGAGTATTATTGGCTGTCGACATATTACTTTAAATGACTGCATTGATTTCCAGTCCACAATCAATCTGCATATAAGTAAATCTTCTATGCATTAATTAATTTAATAAAATATGAATTTAATATAAAATTTGATATGCGCATCAAATTTTTTCCAACGGCATCTATAATGGCAAAATACTTTAAGCTATTGGCTGGCTGTGTAAGGCCTCAATTTCTAAACTTTTCATTTTTCTCTTCCATTTTGTCGACAGCATTTGATAAGTATACTTTCATAAAAATAAACTTAAATTTAAATCTAAATGTTCGTACTTTCAGTAACCGCATTTATCACTTCACTTCCCATGTTGCTCACAGCGCTACTGGTGCGGGAGACGATTGGTTCCGATAAAAGGCGTGGAAATCGGTTCGAATCCGAATTGGCGCTTGGTGTATGCGGCGCGGAAGCGGGCGCTCTGATACCGGAGGACGGCGACTGGGCGGCAGCCGCACTTTCGGCCGTTGTGCCTTCACTTGTTATGGACTTCCCATTTCCTTGCACAGGAGATTCCATGCGGACGTTTGGCTGTGACCTAGGCGAGTAAATGAAGTAATGGATACATTAGTTGTAATGGATATAGTAGTTGGCATTTTGCCTTGAAGCAAGTAGCCGATACGTATACATAATCACATTGCTGAAACTTCCCGTACTGTAATTAAGCATTCAAAAACTAGTTGGTTTGGTATTTAGCCTTGAGGCAGGTTACATGAACTTCCCGATATGTGTAAATAAACGACTTAATCAATAAAATATAAATTAATTTATCAGTGATTTTGAGTATTCCGAGAACTAACACGTTACGAAAAGCAAATTTTAAAAATTCAACATTTCTTGTTTTTGAACTAGTTTCCGTAGGACTTTATTGATTTATTACGTTTATTAAGACTAAGTACTCTATCGTTATACCAAGTAAATCGTCTAATTTTAATTTTAACAAATGTCAAAAAAACTACTTTTACTCAAATTTTGATAAATTTTTAAAGTTAAAATACTTGTCGTAAGGCCGTAATTTTTTAGTAAGTTCTATAAGACCATGATATATATCGCCACAAAAAGTTCCATAAAAATCGGCTTAAATTTTTGTTTCAACAGTTAATTACAAGAAAACGGGTCGGTAGATTGTCACCTAAAACTAATCAGTATCATTTCCAACTAATATCTTTCGAACAGTTTTTGATTTTTTAAAATCGATTCGGTAGTTTGAGCTTAAATATGGACAAAAAGTTTAACACTTTTTTTCAAATTACAAAGAAACGGCTCGGCAGATCTGACAAATTATAGTCCTCATTGAGATACATCAAATGACTTTTAAGTTTATGAAATCGGTTCAGGCGTTTTTGAGAAAACGTCGATCAAAAGTTTAATTTTGTCAAATGTCAAAGAAACGATACTAATTTTTGGAAACTTTGACGATTTTTCAAAATTAAACGACTTGTCGTAGGGCCGTAATATTTTAGTATGATCTACAAGACTATGGTATCTACCGTCAAAAAAAAAATCATAAAAATTGTCGAAAAAATTTTTTTTTAAAACTTTATTACAAGAAAACAGCCCGGCCGATCTTTACCAAAAACAAATCAGCACGATTTCCAATCAATATCTATAGAACGGTTTTTGAATTTTCAAAATCGATTCAGAATTGCGGGCTAAAACGTGGACGAAAATTTTTTCACTTTTCTGCGATTTACAAAGAAACGGCCTGGCCGATTGTTGCACAAAACTTGGAAACGCTAGTCCTCATCAAGATACATCGAATGGCTTTTAAAATTTTGAAATCGATCTAGCCGTTTTTCAGAAAACGTCTATTTACGGGAAAAAATCTGTTCACACACACACACACATACACACACATACTTTTTCCAAATTTGGTCTCATTTGATTCAGAATGGCTTGAAACGTCGAGAAAACATAAAATTAGCGAGTGGGATTTTTTGATGAAAACATAAACTTCTCCTTCGGGAAGTTAAAAATCAGTCAATAAAAATGTCTATGAATAAATATTATAAAATGTATCTTTGAAACGGCTGGACTTGCCTATACCAAGATAATCAGTACGTCTCCACATCAATACGAATTGAATGTTTTTTTTAATCATTCAAATCGGTCGATTTGTTTTCTCAGAACCTGCAATTTTTTGCACTTTTTGCTCCGTATCTTCGAAACGACTAGATCTGCCTTCGCCAAAAACTACTAAGCACGTCTCTTTATCAATACGAATCGAATGTTTTAGCATTATTTAAATCGGTTGATTCGTGTTCTCAAAATCGTCGACGAAAATTTGTATCCGCACAAACACGCACACATACGCACATACACACACACATACATTCATTTTTTCTAAGGTATGACAAAATGTTCAGAAACGTGTGAAACGTAAAGATATATAAAAAAATATTTTCGATTATTTTGCTATTACTATAACTTGCCCTACGGTAAGGTAATAACGATTGAGATTTAGCTATTTAGCACGTTGACGCCGGCGTGAGCCACCGTTGACCCGCATTTCGAAAGCAATAACCACGCGCCCCCTCACAGAAAATCATACTAAAATCGGCACCGGCGTGAATGTGTTAAGTAAAATTAGTTCAACTGTTTATTTAAAAAAAAATCTTTCGCTTTCACTAAAATGTAATCAATGCGATTTCGAATTAACGTCTTTCAAACATAGGGTAGGGCCAAGCACAAAGCACAAAGGTCCAATTTGACGCAATTATATTATGAAAATTCAACCAATTATACCACAACAAATAACACATATCAAACAAGCAAGTATCTGACTATGTTCAATAGAACTCCGAGCTAATCATCGTTGCAGAAATGTGGTTTTTGCTGTTTTTCCAAAATTAGTTACCCGCTTCATAGGCGGGGTAAAATGGAAATGCATTCAATGTTTTGTTTTTAATTTCAAAGAGATTTAAAAAAAAAATAGCTACATTATTCTACTAATCATTAGTAGTGTTACTAACTAATTCAAAATATGAATTTCATAGGTACATTTTTCACAGGGATAACACTGAATATAATCTTGATTTCGTATTTTGTCAAAAATATTCATTAGCAGAGTTAAAATATCTTTTCTTTTAATTTATCTCTTATTAAATAATTTTTTTTCAACTTAATTTAATTTTTATTTAATATTATTTATTGTTTACACCTTTGCAAGGTAAAGGTTCAGTTGGTCCCTTTTACCCCATCCACGTGTAAGATTTTATAGAGGTCATATAGAAAAATCTATTGAATCTAACTTAAAATTAACAATACATTTTATAAAACAATTAACTAACGTAAACTTGAAAACTATATTAGGGTTTCGTAAACTAATTAACAGTGCTTACAACGAAAACAACTAACAACGAAAGACAATTCTTATGTTATGGATTTTTAAACTTTGCCGTTCATCTCCTGATATTGCGGTCATAAGAATCCAGGCGATGGCTATTCATACATCCTTTACTCTCTACTTTTAAATATTCTTAACTTTACTTAATGATATCTGATCATTTTACCCGCGGTTCTTTAAGCTCCGCACTACCCTATACTTATAATATCTGTAATTATATAAATTAAATGAATTTATTTATCCCATTTTGGGCTCTGAAAACGAATTTTATTCAAGTGTGGACGTCAACTGTAATCACTAGCTACATACGAAACACGGAACGCACCATAGAACGTACATATGTTTCAGCATAGATTCTTATAAGAATCGTTTAAGTGCACGTGCAATGTTTAATAAATTTTTATAATTTAACCGCTTATCGTAAGTCTTTAAAATTTCAGTCTGTTATTTTAAACTCGGGGGTCTATATTTATACATAGTTTTATCAAAATCATCAGAACAACTTTTTTCAACATTTAATCAAATCTTTACAAAAAACTAATCAACCTGATTCCCAACCAATACATTCAAACATTTTTAAAATTTTGAAAATCATGCAGTCAGTCTCAATGATGATATCATAGAAAAAAACGGTAAAATTCCTGGGTTACTTTTACTTGATTAATATATAAACACGTCGCCATGAACACTATATTGAATACATCATATTCTAATATAGTCTAGGATGAACACAATGAGGGATGAAAGACAATTATAAAATCTGCCACTAGGATCATCCGAAACCACTTGCCAGAGAACTACGCCATGATATTACCAAGGCAAGATTAAAAACAGAAATTCTTGTTACATTTAAATATCCATTCAAAATCAGAAGCCAATTTTCAAAATTTCTGACAATAGCCACAAGATTTTTTTCTCTACAGTTTTACTTGTTATTCATTTCAGGGTAGGTGTAAAAAGTACTATAATAAAAAAGGTTATCAATTCAAGATTATAGGCTAAAAGGTGGGCGAAAAATTTTACACTTTTCTCAGAAGCTCAGAAACGGCATGGCCGATCGTCGCGCATTGCTGCTGTTTTCTAAAATAACGTCGACGAAAAGTTTGATCTAGCAAACATAAAATTATCGAATCCGATTTTTTCGCGAAAACATAACTTCTCCTTCGGAAAGTTAAAAATTATAAGCAGAAGAAGATTAGGGGGCCGATTCTGTCGTCAAATAGACTGATGTTATGGCAAGGCTATGTTATGTAGCAGTTCTTATACAAAATCGTACTAAATACTGTAAAAAGGTATAAATTAAAAAACAAATCACAAATTATCATAACTGATTTCTGTGATTTGGTTTAATAACATTTATTGCGTTTTACGTGTGAAAGTCCACGTAACATAGTCTTGCCATAACATTGATCTATTTTACATACGAATTTAGAATAAACATACGAAATAAACCTGTGACCAAGTTTGGACAGTGAAATGCTAAAAGTCACTTCTAGTAAGGTATCTCGGATTGGTTCAGATTTTTTTAAAGGCAATATTTGCCTTGGATGCAGATTTTTAATTTCGGTTTGTCCAAATTTTTTGTAATGGTTCTCACACTCTACTCTATAAATATATTTAAACTAAACATTTGAATTTGAGCCGACAAAATTGTGCATATGTAATTATGCAGTTAGAAGTAAGCATATTAAAGGCGAATACGAATACTCATTATTGCATTATTGGTTATTCCAATGACATCATATGCGATATTGATATAAACCTAAATATAATCATGACCACATTCTGTATTCCAGCTCCATTATAATCTTTAAATAATAATATGTTAAAAAATTATCAAATTGCGTTCTAGGAATCGGTTACATGCACGTTGCACCTACAGCTTCATTGGCTTATTACATAAATCTACTCTAGTAAATAACGCTCAACATTTTGTTATTTATATTCTCGTAATTTTAATTCATATTACGAATTTCAGTATTTTAATTCAATAAATTATACTCCATCGAGAATAGATTTCTAGCGACCCATATTCACTTACATGGACCTCATTTACCATAGGACCTTAAAAGCTATTTGCACAATTCACGACATAAAGTATTTATATTGTGTACCATCAAAAACATGTGTGTATATAAAATTGTTCAGAACACAATTAATATAAAATTGTTCAGAACACAAAAATATATTTA